AATGAATGAATATTGTGCTACATAATTGTGTTCAAGTTCATGTATGTTTGTGAACGGAAATTGGTCAAGTTCTCAGACAAATGTCAACCAAACATATTTTGAAAATGCTGTGTAGTTGAAGTTTCATTATTAGCATAGAAAGGGCAATTGTTTATTTAGTATGCTATTTATTATTATAGCATCCTCAGAAATCTGATACTGTCAATGGGATTTTTTTTTTTTTCCTGTATGAACTTGTCCAGTAGTTGAAATTTTTCTTGCAGGTCTGCTTAATTTTTCCACAGCTTCCACAGATTAGGTAGGTAGCTACCAGAGAAAGGGAGTTTTTTTGTAGTGACACCCAGTTTAAAAAAATCACAGAGGCAATAAATTAAAGTTTTAGGCATTACTTTGTTCACATTGTGTTTCATTGATGTGTGAGTGTCTGTGCAGGTCCACCTTTAATTTACTTTCTGCATCTTAATTTTTTGTTTGGTACTTCATTTTTAGCTAGGATATTTCTTCTTATGTTTTGAGTGTGGTATATATTAATAATGAGAGCCAGTTTGGTGTAGTGGTTAAGGCATCAGCTAGAAACCGGGAGACCGTGAGTTCTAGTCCTGTCTTAGACACAAAGCCAGCTGGGTGACCTTGGGCCAGTCATTCTCTCTCAGCCCTAGGAGGAAGTAGGCAATAGTAAACCACTTCCGAAAAACCTTCCCAAGAAAATTGCAGGGACATGTCCAGGCAGTCACCAGGACTCAAAAACTGACTCAAAGGATGGATATGGATATGGATATGGATATGGATATGGATATGGATATGGATATGGATATGGATATGGATATGGATGTGGATGGGGAGAGGAGAGGAGAGGAGAGGAGAGGAGAGGATAATAAATAATAACAGAAATATATTATTCCATTTATATAAAATTCTTTCCATTAGCTGTTCGGTAATGTAAATAATTGGTCAGATATAAATAAGAAGACCTTCTTATGATTACCCAAAGGACAATCTGGGGGGGAGAGGGGATGCAAAAACTGGTCCAGAGGTCACATGGGCCCACCAGCATGTCTTTTGTGGCCCAGAGACATCCCTCTGGGTAGGACTCTTCCCCCCGCCCCCCCCC